AACAATTTTTCTCTCTCCTCATTGTAACAACCTTTTATGTACACCTCTACCGCAATATAACGTGATCCGATATAACGCGGTAAAGCAGTGCTCCAGGGGCGGGGCTGCACACTCCGGCAGATCAAAGCAAGTTCGATATAACGCGGTTTCACCTATAACGCGGTAAGATTTTTTGGCTCCCGAGGACAGCGTTATATCGGGGTAGAGGTGTACTTGAAAACTGTTATGTCCCCTCTCAGTCTTCTCTTCTCCAGACTAAACAAACCCCGTTTTTTCAATCTTCCCTCATGTTTTCTAGACCTTTAATCATTTTTGTTGCTCTTCTCTGGACTTTCTCCAATTTGTCCACATCTTTCCTGAAATGTGATGCCCAGAACTGGACACAACACTGCAGCTGAGGTCCAATCAGTGCAGAGTAGAGCGGAAGAATTACTTCTCGTGTCTTGCTTACAACACTCCTGTTAATACATCTCAGAATGATGTTCACTTTTTTTTTGGGGGGGGAAGGGTTACACTATTGGCTCATATTTAGCTTGTGGTCCACTATGACCTCCCAGATCCCTTTCCTAGGCAGTCATTTCCCATTTTGTACGCGTGCAGCTGACTGTTCCTTCCAAATTGGGGTACTTTGCATTTGTCCTTATTGAATTTCATCCTATTTACTTCAGACCATTTCTCCAGTTTATCCAGATGATTTTGAATTTTAATCCAAAGCACTTGCAACCCCTCCCAGCTTCGCATCATCTGCAAATTTTATAAGATTAAGATATTGAACAGAACCGGACCCAGGAGAGATCCCCACAGGACCCCACTCGATATGGCCTTCCAACTTGACTGTGAACCACTGATAAACTACTCTCTGGGAACGGTTTTCCAACCAGTTTTGCCTACTACCTTATAGTAGCTCCATCCAGGTTGTATTTCCCTAGTTTGTTTATGAGAAGTCATGCGAGACAGTATCAAAAGTCTTACTGAAGTCAAGATATACCACATCTACCATTTCCCCCCATCCACAAGGCTTGTTACCCTGTCAAAGAAGCCTACTAGGTTGGTTTGACATGAATTGTTCTTGACAAATCCATGCTGTTACTTATCACCTTATTATCTTTTACGTGTTTGCAAATTGATTGCTTAATTATTTGCTCCATTATCTTTCCAGGTACTGAAGCTAAGCTGACTGGCCTGTAATTCCCTGGGGTTGTCTTTATTTCCTTTTTATAGAGTGGCACTATAACTGCCCTTTTCCAGTCCTCTGGAATCTCTCCCATCTTCCATGACTTTTCAGAGATAAAACGCTAATGGTTCAGGTATCTCCTCAGACAGTTCCTTCAGTATTCTAGGCCCTGGTGACTTGAATACATCTAACTTGTCTAAGTAATTTTTAACTTGTCCTTTCCCTATTTTAGCCTCTGATCCTACCTCATTTTCACCGGCATTCACTGTTATACATCCAATTGCTACTAAAAAAAAAAATTTTTTTTTTAAGTGACTAAATCTGAAATTATTTTTCTCCACAAATATTTCAACTTAAGCTTCCTTTTAAAGCCTGTGTTGTTCAAGTGTATTTGCAAACTTGGGGCCTTATTTGATATCTATTTTTAAAACTTTTTAGTTCACCTTTAAGCTTGATGTTTTGGAAAATTGAAGTTCCCTTGTCTGGCACAATTAAGCCAGCCATTTCCAATTATTTAGGTAGCGTATCAACCAAGAAGTTGACAGAAATACTATTCCCTCCGAAGCTATTAAACTTTGCCATTCAGACCCACCCTATATTATAAAATACAACATCAGGGAACCTGGTTCCAGTTAGCTGTCCCCAACCCGGTTACAAATGTAGTTCCAGTTTGCAATGTGGATTGGACGTTAACCTTGTTTCCTAACCACTCTAAAGTCTTGCTCATGGAATGTATAACGAAAGCTTATGCTCAAATAAATTTGTTAGTCTCTAAGGTGCCACAAGTACTCCTGTTCTTTTTGCGGATACAGACTAACACGGCTGCTACTCTGAAACCTATACTTGTATGTATCTGTACCTGCTGCATACTGTAGCATTGGGAATGGGGGCTGAATATTACTTCTGTCTCCTCACACTCACCCACCAGCTCAAATCATGCTAGGTAAACCACAGTTTTGAGAATTCTTGACAATCTCCAATATGCCAATAAAAAATACCCTGCCATTTTTTTCCTTCGGATGTTCAAGATGTGAATGTCCTCACTCCGATACTCCTCATCATGTTTCTCCAGTGGAACCTTTTCCAACTCAAAGTCCATCTGGAGCAGCTGTTATTAAAACATAAAAGGCAGTAAGCAAAATACTTCTAGCAATGTTGACATTTTAACATACCTTTAAGTGCATTCATTTCACTGACGGTCCTAAAATATTCTGCATAAAGCAGCTATGCTTCAGGAAGTGAGATAGCACAAAGGATCCCTCTCTTCCACAGAAGTTTGTTGATTTAGCTAATTAACAATCTTTTTTTTTTTACACCACGCAGCACAGTTATTTTAATTTTAATTTATCTGGTACAAATCCAGAGTCATGTGCACTTCCCAAAATTTAAGAACCAACAGGAAAACCTAAAATCAGTCAAAACAGTATTTCAATTCCTCAAATCTCCAGTTCTTAAATTCCAATTAAAAGGCTCTTCCACAAACACTAAAGTATTAGGCCGAACCACATATCACCACCCGTCCTTCCCCCAACCTCCCTAAATGCTAGTGAAACAAGATGGGCTTCGCAGCATGCCTGGGAAGTTAATCTGGATTCTGGCAAGCCAAAGAAGGAACCTCGTGAGAACATCTGACCCGCTCTTGTTTATATTGTGGGAGCACTGGCGCCAGCACCAGCACCGATCTCAACTCTGGCAACACGGCAGTATTCCTCAGGTAACCTGGTTCCAAACCACTCAAGATATTGTTAGGGCCACTACCAGGAAACATACCCCAAAGCCAATGCAATGCTCAGAGTGTTGGTAATGCTGGCATACACAGACATTATTCTGAAATCCTTGCCCTCTTCCCCAGCCCATACTACGCTTTCTGTAGGCCCCAGTGCCCATATGCAACAGCTGCGCTTTGCAGATGCAGGGCCAGACTTTGGACTCACTAGCACCTCCACAACTTCTGACTATTTGGCCTGCAGTACCTACGGGGAATCCAGCTGTTACCCATGATTTGGTTTTTCTACCAGCTATGAAGTACTATGCTGTGACGATGAGATTCCCAGACCAAGATATAATTCCTCTATGTCATGTACTCATGCTCCAATATTGACATATAGGGGGAAAATTTTGGAAGTGCTTAAGGTGGGTAGGTCTACACAGCAATTAAACACCCACCGCTGGCCCATGTCAGCTGACTCGGGCTCACGGGGCTCAAGTGGCAAGTCTGTAAAATTACAGTGTAGACTTTCAGGCTTGGGCTAGAGCCCAAGCTCTGGGACCCTCCCACACTGCAGGGTCCCAGAGCTCAGACCCCAGCCCAAGCCCAAACGTTTACACCACCATTTTACAGCCCAAGCCCCGCGAGCCCAAGTCAGGTCACACGGGCCAGCCGTGGGTGTTTAATTGCTGTGTAGACATACCCTGAGTGACTTAACAGCTTAAACCCGATTTTCCAAGCTCATTTAGGCACTTCGGCTCCTAAATCCCACTGAATTTCAATGAGACTTATGCTCCTAAATCATTTGTGAAAATGGGGTTTACGCTCCTAAGTCACACTGACACTTCTGAAAATTGTACCTATATTCTGAATATACCAAAAGCCTATGCTTTCAAAAGAACATTTTGAAGAGATTTCTTTAAAAAAACTGAAAGGACTAATTTTGAATCTCTGAGATCCTGTTTAGGAACATCAAGCCAGCTGTTGGGGGGGGGGGAGGCAGGAGGAAAATCAAAATGCTAATGTACTCATGTCTATAAAAGTGACTGCATTATTCTTTTTGCAGATACTGACCTATATATGTGGTGTTCTTTCATTAATTTATAAGATCTTTCAAGCAGCACAGACAACTATTTGACTCCCTTTGTGAGTCTGGTTTACTATGCTCACAATGAATGTGAATTATCAAAAGCATCAATGCAGAACTAAGGTGTTTTAAAAAAAAACAGAATTTCTTTTCCTAAAAAAGGAGATTATTTAAATAAATGCATAGCTAGCATCTACCAATAAATCAGAACACAATTTAAGCAACTGGTGATTAACTCCTTCCCTGCATCTGAAAAAGTGTTCTTGCCCAAAGTCACGTGGAATTTTCCCACAACAAACAAACTTGACTTGTACTGTGCATTGTACTTGTACAGAGACACAGAAGGATCTGTAGATTTCAACTGAACCATTACACAGTCCTCATATACACAAAGCATGCGCAACAGCAAAGGACACTTACCTCAAAGTATTTTCTCTCTATTTCTGGGTTCTTACCCATAGTCCTTTGTTCGTAACAACATATGATACAGGTATCAGGACCTGAAAGGTCTTTCAGGGTCTTCAGTAATGGCTCTAGTGACTGCCCAAAAGAGATCAAGTATTTGCCATTTAGACTTCAAAGTTCACTTTACTACTACTACATTCCATAACTAGAGACAAGTTTCACTGAACTGGACACTTTCTTATTTTACTTTTCAGACAGCTAGTTATATTTAGTACAATACCTAGGACAAGTGACATGTAGGTAGCAGAAAGGATAAATGGAAAAACAAGTTACAATATGTGATTGCTTAGAAAAAATGGCCTTTTACACATTTTACATACATAGATCAGCCTATACATCTATATCATCTAAGCCAAGGATATCCTACACTGCTAAAGTAGCTGTTTCCTTGAAATATGCAAGATTACTTTTTCTTCACAGCAATACATTGGACTTAGACACCTGTTTTCAAAAATTAAAAAAATATCTAACCAGACTTAATGTTAAGATGCGATTTAGGGCTAGAGATTGTCCTCTAGGAAAAAAGGGCTCAGAGTTGTAGGGCGGAGGATCTGGAGGCTGGTGAGAAAACTAAAAGAGTCAGGAGCATAGTTCCTTCAGATTGCTTCCCCAGCCCAGATCTTGTGCTAGCCTCAGCTCAGGTGTACCACAGGGAGAGAGTTCTGCAGAGGGGGATGGACCAGAAGGGCCACTTTCTGAAGCATGGTTTCTCCTCCCAACAGACCCATGGGGAATCCGTGTAGGAGATAATGCTGAGCCTTTAAGCATCATCGTATATGATTTCCACCGATAAACAGTGAAACTCTCCAGTATCAGCTACCAGTGTTTTATTTCCCTACAACTCCATGGACAAAAAAGATTGGGCACAATTCTGAATTACAGCTCTCAAAAGACCTGATTCAGGCCCCGTGCCACATGACTCTAAATGTGTTATTTGCTCATTCTTAAAATTACAGCTTTTAAAATTCATCATTCAATACTCAGCCATCAAATAATGTTCCTCTGAGCCACACAGATTGAAAACTAGTGGCAATATTTATTTAAAGATTTTAATACGAATTCTAGTCTCTCACACCAAATCCAAAATTCCCAGGTTCTTTCCAATCAAATGCATTATTTCTACAGTTTTCAAATAGTTACCTCCTCATAGTAAATGCAGTCAGCCATAAGTATATAATCTGGTGCAGGCAGAAATTCTTTTACATCTTCACCCCTAGAAAAAGTGAACAGGTAAATATAAAATGCAAATTTTAATTATGGAAAAAAAATTATATGTTTTAAAAGTGTAACATTTAGTGCAAAATCTATATGACTTTGGGCTAAGTCCTCCACTACTTATTCCACTGTATATTTTAGGGGAATTTCCATTTTTACAAGTAATCTATCATATCACATTTTCCAAACATATTTTGAACTTAGACTGTAAGTTCTTTTGGGCAAGGCTCTCCTTGTGTTGTGTTTGCACAGTACCTAGCCCAAGGGTGTTCTGGTCTGTGATCAGGGCTCGTAGGAGCTCTGATAAAACAAATATTTATTATTAAAGTTCTACAGCAATTGTGTATAAATTAAATATCAAGATTAAAAGATTATACAAACCATTTCAGTACCTTGGCTTGAACTGAGCCTGTGACAAGATGCTTGTTCTTTTCAATATTAATATTCAGCAAATCCTGAAGTTCCTCAAGATCAGTGACCGTAACATCTGCCCTACAAAAGAAATATTTTTAATTCATAAAAAGGAAGCCCCAGAAACACAAATTTAAGACTCCTTATTAATGTTTGAAAATAGACATATCTGTAACCTCTTTCATTCCTTTTGGAAAGCTACTGCAGACTGAAGTCATGACTTAATACGTGCTGAGTTACTTCAGCAATTCACACTCCTATTCTGATGGAAAGACGACTTGGCTCACAAAATGCAACTTGCCATAAAATTTAAGAGGGTTAGACCAAGAAACAGGATTCTACTACAACTCCTACAAAGTGGGATTCTTGTATAAAAACACAGTGATATTTGCAATGAAGGCCCCACCTGTACTTTAAACTCCCAGGTGAGTTCCAATGTAAATTTGCATAATTTTGGTCACTCAGCATAATCTATGCTGGAAAAAAAACAAAAAACCCTGGAGCATGGCCACGACCAGCCCAAGTCAGCTAACATGGGCTCACGGGGCTCAGGTGCAGGGCTAAAAATTATTCGGGCTCGGGCTGGCACCCAGGCTCTGAGCCCTATGCCCCTTGCCAAATTTCAGAGCCCAAGCAGGAACGTCTACACTGCAATTTTTAGGACCAAGCCAGCTGACCCAGGCTCTGAGACTTGCTGCCATGGGTTGGGGTTTTTTTTACAGCATAGATCTACTTTCTGGGTATGTCTACACTGAACACTAAGCCCAAGTGTGTGGGAGCCGGGCTTGTGACTAGGTTTTTCCAGGCCTGCGCTTGAGCCTCCACACGGGGCGGTAAACCTGGGTTTCCAATACCGGACCTGGCCCTACCGCACGGCACAGACCTTCTGCCTCGGGTCTGCAGCTTGAGCTGTGTCCACACTCCAGAGAACAGGGCACAGACCCGAGTCACAGCAGGATCCTAGGACCCAGGCCCTGCGCGCTGGCTGCGCCCCGTGATTCCTGCACAGACGGGGGTGGGGGGGGGCTCAGGCTCAAACCCGACTCGCAGCCCCCAGCTGCGTGTGTGGCCTGGACATACCCTGAGGGCAGCCCCGACCGAGGGGGTCAGCAGCGGGGGCCCCTAAGGGGCGAGCTAACGCCCCAGATCCGCCCCCCCAGGCCTTGGGGTTCGCTTGAGCTCGGATCCACCCGGGCAGCTGGGCCCATGGCCCGGGGGCGCCTCCTCTCCCGCCCGGCCCGGCCCGGCGAGCCCCCAGCCGCCGCCGCCCTCCTACCCCAGCGTGGCCGCCATGATACCCACGGCGCCGGGGCCCGCGCCCAGCTCCAGCACGGCGCGGCGGCGCAGGGCCAGGCCCAGGGCCCCGCGCTCCAGGAACTTGGCCAGGACCAGGGCGGCGTCCCACACCACGCAGCCCACCCCGCCCGCGCCGCGCTGCTCCAGCCGCAGCGCCGAGCCGTCCCGCTTCTCCAGCGTCCGCACGAAGCCCGGCCCCGCCATGGCCCCGGCCCGGCGCCTCACAGCACAGGCCGCTCCCCGCCTCGGCGCGGCGCCGCCTCCCCGCCCCCTCGGTCCTGGGCTCGGCTCAGAGCCGCCTCCCGCGGGCTCCCGGCCCCTGCCCACTCCCCATCCCCTTCTCCTCTACCCCAGGGATGGTGCCCCCGGCCCCTGACTGTATCCCTAGGTCGTGCTCCCGCCCCGCCCCCTGACTGTGCCCACCCGCGATGCCCCCTCCCCCTGGCTGTACCCCCAGATGGTGCCCACCTCCCTGCCCATCCTGTCACCCCCTTGCCCGAGACAGCGTCTCCACCAGTTCCACCTCCTCCCCCAACATCCACCGGCCTCCCCATCTCCCCTGCCAGATGATGCCCAACATCCATCTCCCCACCGCCCTCACCCCATTGGCATCTCTGTCCCTGCCAAACCATGCTCCTGTGCCCCCAGTGAAGAGCATGCCCTGGCCCCTTTACCCCACACCCCCACCCTGCACAGCTGCAGAGGCACAGCTGGTTGGGGGAAGGAGGCTGTTGCACCCAGTTTTGAAACCATGGTCCCCCTAGAAGCCTTGGGAACACACACCAGCACAAGCACACACCTATCATGGATTTGGGCATCTCACAACCCACTGAGTATTTTTCCTTGTACCCTTCACAGTGTGTCTGTCAGACTGTGAGGCTTTGCTAGGCTGAAGCTCCTTCCCCTCCATCTTTCCAATTCTCTCCTCCCCTCCAATCTGCTAGCAATTGTTCTGCATGTGAGCATAAAAAGAGAGAAAAGCAAGACCATGCAACATTCAGACTTTATTCCAGTGGTTCTCAATCTGCGGCCCATGGGCTGCTTGCGGCCCAGTCAGCACACAGCCTATTCAAGCCCAAATTAATGGTGTTAAATTTGCAAATGAATTTTAGTTCTGTTGTTTCTCTTTGAAGTCTGTTTCTGAAGTTTTTTTGTTCAAGAATAGTTACTTCAAACCAAGATGATACATATTTACTTTCTCACCAGCAGATGTCACTGTCTCCGAAGGAAAGTAGAATTTGTCATCAAACCAACTAGAAATATTTAAGACTGTCAAGCAGTTAAAAAAAGGTGGGGTCTCTGGAGGTGTTGGCCCCTCCTTTTTATAGTTTCAGTCCTCTTTTGAAAAACATTTCCAGCTGGCTACCAGGAGACAGCCTATGTAGAAGGATGTTCCCTGCTGCATTTTTCTCACCTGTTTGAGCTTCCTTTGTTTCCCCTTCCTGGCTGATCACTCTGTTCACTACTTAAATGCAAAGTAAACTGAGCACACATTCCTTTGTGTAAGACAGACCTATTTGCCAGCCTCAGTTTGGAACATGGAATCTGTTGCCACACATATTTATCAGGACACTATTGACCAGCAAATTATGAGTTTTCAGATGAAACTTTACAAGACATACTTTGTACAAAGTAGGGCTGTCAAGCGATTAAAAAAATTAATCGCGATTAATCACGCGATTTTAAAAAACCGCGATCACACGAGTAATCGCACTGTTAAACAATAATAGAATACCATTGATGTAAATATTTTTAGATGTTTTCTACATTTTCAAATATATTGATTTCAATTACAACACAGAATGCAAAGTGTACGGTGCTCACTTTATTTTTGATTACAAGTATTTGCACTGTAAAAAAACAAAAGAAATAGGATTTTTCAATTCACCTAATACAAGTACTGTAGTGCAATCTCTTTATCATGAATGTTGAACTTACAAATGTAGAATTATGTACAAAAAAACTGCATTCAAAAATAAAACAATGTAAAATTTTAGAGCCTTCAAGTCCACTCAGTTCTACTTCTTGTTCAGCCAATCAAGTTTTTTTACATTTGCAGGAGATAATGCTGCCTGCTTCTTGTTTACAATGTCACCTGAAAGTGAGAACAGGTGTTCGCATGGCACTGTTGTAGCCGGCATCGCAAGATATTTTCATGCCAGATGTGCTAAAGATTCATATGTCCCTTCATGCTTCAACCATCATTCCAGGAGACATGGGTCCATGCTGATGACGGGTTCTGCTCAATAACAATTCAAAGCAGTGTGGACCGACACATGTTCATTTTCATTATCTGAGTCAGATGCCCGCACCAGAAGGTTGATTTTCTTTTTTGGTGGTTCGGGTTCTGTAGTTTCCGCATTGGAGTGTTGCTCTTTTAAGACTTCTGAAAGTATGTTCCACACCTCGTCCCTCTCAGATTTTGGAAGGCACTTCAGATTCTTAAACCTTGGGTCGAATGCTGTAGCTATCTTTAGAAATCTCACACTGGTACCTTCTTTGTGTTTTGTTAAATCTGCAGTGAAAGTGTTCTTAAAATGAACAACGTGTTGGGTCATCATCCAAGACTGCTGTAACATGAAATATGTGGCAGAATGTGGGTAAAACAGAGCGGGAGACATACAATTCTCCCCCAAGGAGTTCAGTCACAAATTAAATTAACTCATTATTTTTTAAACAAGCATCACCAGCATGGAAGCATGTCCTCTGGAATGGTGGCCGAAGCATGAAGTGGCATACGAATATTTAGCATATCTGGCACGTAAATACCTTGTAATGTCGGACACAAAATTGCCATGTGAACGCCTGTTCTCACTTTCGGGTGACATTGTGAATAAGAAGTGGGCAACATTATCTCCTGTAAATGTAAACAAACTTGTTTGTCTTAGCAACTGTCTGAACAAGAAGTAGGACTGAGTGGACTTACAGGCTCTAAAATTTTACATTGTTTTATTTTTGAATGCAGTTATGTAACACACAAAAATCTACATTTGTAAGTTGCACTTTCACGTCAAAGAGATTGCACTACAGTACTTGTATGAGGTGAATTGAAAAATACTATTTCTTTTGTTTATCCTTTTTACAGTGCAAATATTTGTAATCAAAAATAATATACACTTTGATTTCAATTACAACACAGAATACAATATATATGAAAATGTAGAAAAACAAGCAAATATTTAATACATCTCAATTGGTATTCTATTGTTTAACAGTGTGATTAAAACTGCGATTAATCGCGATTAATTTTTTTTAATTGCGATTAATTTTTTTGAGTTAATCGCGTGAGTTAACTGCGATTAATCGACAGCCCTAGTACAAAGATGATTAAAATAGTGTGTAAGGTGTGGACACAGGTACATTCTGTCACAGAGTGGTACACAATATACAGAGGTAGCGTTATCTGCTTTTCATTTCACTGGGGGGGTTGGCTGTGAAGGACATGCAGAGCAGTTTGTTTATATCCATAGGGATGTCCCTTGCATCCTACAGAGAGATCTTGATGAAATTTTCATGGAGGTACTCTGCAATCCTCTCCCGAAGGTTTCTAGGGATGACTGCTTTATTTCTTTCTCTGTGGTATGACACTTTCCCACATTACTCTGCAATGACTTTGGCAGGCACCGTTGCACTAAATAGGCTAGTGCATATGGGCCCAGTCAGCTTTGGAATGCCAGCAGAAGCTGTGTTGTCTGTGCCTTTGTGACTCTCAGTGAGCTATCAGCGAAAATCACCACCGCCGGTGGAAAATAGTGCCAGTATTCGGTGCCATTGCCCTGTGCTGAGACCCATGGAAACGGGCTGAAATGTTATTGTTTTATGCAACCAAACCCTCACTCATCCATGGTGGACAATACTCACCACGGCTGCAGCTGGAGAGTGTACTGTGCAGAAGCACTCCGAAGCTGAAGTGTCAGGAAGCATGTCTTATTTAAAACTCTTATGGGAATAAGGGAAGGGAGTTCTGAAACTTATCTTTTGCTTTTCTTTGCGACTGTAAATGCAATGAAACATCTGTCTGTCTTATCTGGAGCTGCTGCTGCTGTGGTCTGGAGGGACGCTCCCTCCAACCCGTGGAATGCCTGAGCCTGATCAGGAGAAAGAAGCGGACCAGGGAGGAGATGTTCTCTGAGATCCCACAAGCCAGTGCTGCATTGGACCATGAACAGAGGACCTGGAGCAGGGGTCCCCAACGCGGTGCCTGCGGGCGCCATGGCCCCCACCGGGGCGTCTAAGTGCGCCCGCGTACTGGCCGGCGGACAAGCATCCGCCGAAATGCCGCCAACAAGCAGCGTCATCCAGAGGCGTCGCCGCCGAAATGCCGCCGATTCGGTGGCATCTTCTCTGGATGCTGCTGCTTGTCGGCGGCATTTCGGCAGTGACGCCTATTGACGTTGCCACTTGTCTGCGGCATTTCGGCGGATGCTCGTCCGACACCGCGGTCCTCCGTGGCTCATCGTCTGGCACCCGCCAGACGAAAAAGTTGGGGACCGCTGAGCTAGAGGATGAATATAGCAGACAGCCTGGAGAAGGAAATTGCGGAGAGGAGGAAAGCACAAGAGTCCCAGCAGGAAAAAGAGAGGGAGATGCACCAGGACATAATGGGGCTTCCCAGGCAGCAAATACAAATGGTACAGACTCTTGTTGGCCTACAGGTCCAACAGTCATGGGCTCTCCTCCCTTTGCAGGTAATGGAGAACTCCATTCCAGCAGCTCCCTACACCCCCCAACCTTCCACATGACATCATGGGCTGCATCCCTACCCCACCACTCCATGCCGTGGGACAGTATGGAAAACTACAACTTCACATACACCAACCATGGCTCTCACAGGTCAGTGTATGTTTGGCAGAAATGGACAGGAATGTTTTCTGCCATTCTGATTTTAAAGTTCGGTTCTATTAATTTATTTTAGAAGTTTGGACTGTATTTTTTAATTTCACTTTTTTTGCAAAACCTACCTTATGGGAGGAGACTCAAAAAGCTTGACTGGTTTAGCCCAACCAAAAGAAGGCTGAGGGGAGATATGATTGCTCTCTATAAATACACGAGAGGGATAAATACCGGGGAGGGAGAGAGAGGAGAAATGGCACCCCAGTGGGCAGGCATGGAGTTTTCCCCCACAGGTGCAGCCCCGTTGGTCTGACTGGAGCCGCACCCCCCAAATATAGAAGTCAAAATACGCCTATGTTCAGAGCAACAGCCAGAACATTTTACGGGA